TAGCGGACGTAAATGCTGATCACGATGATTAGCTGGATTACATGTGATACAAATAGAGCAAAAATTTGAAAAAGCTTGATATCTTAGAAGAGCGAAGGTCGCAATGGTAGTGAAGCGGCAGCTGCACTTCTTGTCAACGTTTATTTAGAATTGTCTAAAATCTCTTGCATAGTCACCTTACTTCTATAGATCTGACTTTACTTTTTAAGCGTTTATTTATTCATTGACGTCGAATGAACAAAAACTGAGCAAAAGTTGATTTGTTTAGAATGAAGCTTGTGCTACTTTTGATGCAGATATTCTTAGTGTCCGCTCAATGCCAAATCGCTAAACATTACCTTTGACGATGCTACGACTCTTGAAGAAGATAATACTACTACGACTATGATTGCCAAAACATGCCCAACAGCACCGTACCGAGCCCGAGCAGAAATGATTGTCAACAATACCGCGACTATTATAAAGACTACTATCTAGCTTATCATGATTAACCGGTATACTATGATTATCCATGTAGACCACCACCGCGATATAATCCTCGCTTTATGCCACCCAGACCATTACCATTGCATAACTCTCGTCTTATTCGACCTCTTTTATTTTTATTATAGTAACAAAAAATAGGCACCGTTTTCGTCGTCATGAATAAAGATAGAGCATCATTCTTGTGTGAATATGTAATTTAACATGGGATTCTTCCATAATACGATCAGACAAATTCTTCTCGTTGTTACGTTCGGTACTGTGTGTATCGTTTTTGACACAGATGTGTCCGCGTCAATTTGGACTGGAACATTATCTTCACTTACTGATGGAATATCATTGAAGGGAATTCTGTAGAGGCAAATCTGGTGAAAACAATTTTATTTAGGTCATGTCTCAACACGTCACGTCTTTGCAAAAAGAACTTGTTTCAAGTCTTACTGAATTTTTTCTTACTTTGTTCGTAATCATATAGTCATTCGACAGCCTGAGTAATGCACAATAAAAGCTTGGTTCCTAAAAAGATATTCCAAGTACGTACTGCTAACGGAAAGAAATTGCACAATGCTTGGACTAGACCATACGTTGTTTGATCTTCGGTGGCAATTTACTGGTACCTTTATGGCGAAAAAGACGTTCAGTGTGAAATCTACGTCATACGGAAAGCGACGATTTTCCCACTCTTATTGTACATTTTTGCGGCGGTTGCAATAGAGCAATTTAGAACACATATTCTAAAACTACGACTTCTAGAAAAAATATGCACGAATGAGCTTTGTAATATGAAAGCGGGATGGGCCAGAAAGAGTTCGTACTCATCAATTTGTGGGGTGCTTCTTTGGAAGACAGACATTTTTCTCACCTACATTTGACATCACATTTAATTGATATTGCAAATTACTTGTTTAGAATATTTATTCAGTAATCAGCAACTCATAGAATCAGCTTCGGTCAAGAACAATATACCTCTATTTGTATATCAGCACCGGTCAACAATTTACCCCTTTTGCATAGGGATTGTACATTTTACAATTAACAATTAGTACTTCCAAAAACAATCAGCAATTGATCCCTGGTGAAGCGATCAACAATCGGTACACTCTAAAACGATCATTTTGTGAGTTTTAGTCTGCAACAATTTACAACAAGAAGGTCACACCTATAGTATATCATTCTCTAATTCGTATCTGAAGTGTTAAAGATTACATTCCTGTTAAGTAGAATAGAGACATTCTATCAGGTTGGAAAGAAAGTTCTAGGATAACTCTCATGCATGTCATGAGATCATTACAGTTTCGCGTCGGTAGTGCAACGGTTCAGCACACGCCTCCGGATTAGGTGAAATGTGAGTTCGAATCCTAACTACGCAAGAGTTTTGTACACCGTTCTACATCATCGACTATGTTGCAACATCATGACACGTCTACAGGTGGTCAAATAAAATGAATTCTGAAGTTCCGTGACAGTACTCATTTGCGTTGAGGATTGACAAGTGTCTTTGAATTCAAGAATGACGAGTTCTGTGAACGTGGGTTTGATTCGCTGCCTGAGAGATGACAAAAATGTGTTCAATCTGATCGGGCATACTTTGAATAATCTGACAAGGACATCACATTACTGAGCTGATAGGTCTAGTGGTATACAGGCGCCTGTTTCGTCCTATTGGATCTATGAAAAGCGGTCTATAGAAGAAGTTTGATACTTCGAATAGTGTTGTTGAGTAATTTGATTACTTTTGGATAATTAAAATAGTGTTTATTGTTCTAATGCCTATACATATGAAAGACCTAATGTTTGATATGTTTGCATCATCTGTGATGACTAGAGATCTCAATAGGCAAGCAGCAGAAGACTCAGGAGCGAACGGCATCTCTCGGCTTTTCCTCATCACATAGATTGGAGCTTCAGATGTCTTGTCTCATTTTTGTGATACAGGATACTCGCTCATGGCCTTTTGCCATACTCTGAAGTTGAGTTGTTTATCACAATGAATTCTTGAGAGAATGCGGAGAATAAACGCTAGCGATGTCATCGCTTTAGAATTTCACAGTTCCTTAGCGAAAAATATTATGATTGGAAGAAAGTTTTGGAGCACTTGTGAAAAATTGGGTATTTATGCATGAATTTGCATGTATTCAAAAACAAGTTCAATGATAACTATTCCTCAAAATTAAGGCCATCGTTTTTAGGACTTTCTGTCATCGGGCTAAGTTTCGGCACTACGCTTGTCACACCAAATAGTCATCTCAAATGGCTACGAAAGCATAGCAAACTGAAGTCAGGTCAATGAGAGGTGGGCCCCATGGCACAAATAATGGAAACAAGATGTTCTATGCCCAGACAGAAAGATGCCTTTATAACTACCCTTTACAACAATAAATTGAGCAGTGCTGTCAAAAGGTGTCTAGGAAACAGTGATCCGTAGAACTGTGTAAGAATTATAAGTATCCCACCTAATACGTTTCGGCGCCAATAGGTTCGAAACCGTTTATGCTACCGGCTTTAAAATACAGACAACTGTGTAATATGTCCTTCTGGTAGAGATGGAAACTGTGTGAGTTCTGGTACATAATACCACATGTCTTGCACGACATGTGGTGAAGAATACATCTGCGAAGCGGGAAGACCATTTTGGGTTCGCATCAAAAATCACCGAGACGGAAAATCGAACTGTCATACAAGTAAGCCTCGAGGTACGCCTAGGGTAGAAAAGCACATGAATGTAGACTTTGATGTAATAGTAGGAATCCTGAGGCAAAAATCAAAAACATTAATAAGAAAAACCCTTGAGGCCCTTGAATGAACCGTAAAAGTCCAGGAATGAATTATACACCTTATCTCAGATTCATTTTCTAGTCTGAGTAAAATTCATCTCTAACGGTGTGTTTTATAACACCGGCGACCTCTCTCATATAAGTGCATAAAAGGTAGAGTTTTTGTAAAATAACCAGGGTGCTGAATTGTTTTGTACTAGATTCTTCGTGCATACGAATATTGACTGAATAACTATGCATAATAAGACATAATACTTTTAGGTTCTGACAAAGGCGGAGTCTCCAAAACGATAGGCTTCGAATTTCAAAAAAGAAGGCTAAATCTCGTGCAAGTTTCATTCAACGAAAAAGCACTTTATAAGAATTTTCGCATTTTCAAAATTTCTGCCGAGGTTCATAGAGGGTCGGACTCTTGAATAACGAGACACTTTTGATCTTCCTTAACTAATTTTCTCCATTCCACGAGATCTTTTTGACTCCGTGTTCTTTAGGAGTGCTTTAGTTTCAATCGAGAGGATTCTCTTTTCATAGAACAATAACCCATCCTACCAGGGCCCACATTCAACAGAAATGTGGGAAGTGGTTTCGGTGTTGTGAAAGACCAGCTTTCTCTAGAGATCTCGTGGTTTTGCTTTTACGACGCTTTCTCCTCCAGGATTTCATGGAGTGTCAACTTCACCAGCATACAACGATATTGTGTCGAAGATGAAATTTTCATGTTGAACTCGACTTTGCAGGTTAAACCTCGAAGACCTTTGTGAGTGATGGATGCGAGGAAATGAATCAAATGCAAAAATTCCGTAGTTAAACACGGCAAATGTGAGCTTGGGTTATATAAACAAAAAATAATTAAAATAAACCTAGTGATGTAGAGTGGTGTGCAAAGTCTTTGCGTCAGGCGGGACTCAAACCCACATTTGACTCTGTGCAGGTACGCTTGCTCTAACCCGTTGCACTACTGATGCTCATTTTTTCATCACTCTTTCTACGCTAAGAGTAATGGCAAATCGGGCTTCAGTAGTGCAACGGGTTAGAATACGCGCTCCTGGATAAAGTTAGACGTGAGTCCCGTCTAATGCAATAATTTGCATTGTAGCAACGACTCGTTGCTACTTCTTTATCATGTAGGTTCGTTGTGAGCTAGAACCCACCGATCCCAGTGAGGACACGTCCCTTTAAGCTCCCTTCAAATTACGAAAGCCGGGAAGCCGGAAAAACATTTCACGATACTCCCAGCCTTGTCTTATACCAGCGTCATCTTCTACAATATGTCACCAACTTTCAACCAAACCATTATTCGATTGTAATGCGTGGACTCCGCAATAGTAGCAGAGCATATTGCGCTGCGCTATGCGTGGTCCGCCACCGGAGATGAGGTATCTAGTCTCATAAATAAGTACCCTCATAACTGCCGTTGAGCGGCATTCAGTTTTGAACTACACCAAGGCCCTAGCAAATGATACACGAACTCATCCACTCAGCACCACCTTCGGTGCATGCATTCACGGAACGGGCATAATAGCATCGCACGCTCGGCCGCCTTGTCGTGTTCCGCAGTTAACCCTTTGTCTCCGTGTAGAAGAAGTAATCGTTAGCATTTCTGTGTTGTTAACATACATCTCGCATCAACTATCGTCTATCCTCATGCTGATATTACCATTGTGAATTTTATATACTTTAGGTTGTTGTTTTTATTCCTATTATTTGTGAGGTCGTGATTTGCTCACCACTCAACTATCTTGTGACTCTGTGGTGTAGTTCTAAAACACGCCTCCCCGGTATGGGTAAAACGCGGGTTCGATTCCCGCCTGATGCCGCGTTTTTGCTCACCACTCAGTGCTCTTAGGTATATATCTAACATCACGACATTGCGAAAAAAGCAGTAAAAACACTAGAATTCCGGAGTATTACATCTAACAATTGAGCAGGAGGAAGCGAACAGCTTGGGGAACGTTTAAGAGCATCGAGATGTAGTGGAAAGGACAAAGAAATCCCACTCGTGCCCACCTTTTAGACTCGAAGATTAACGCTGCCCGAATGGATGCAGCAGAAACCCGGTCGCTACGTAAGCAAAATGAAAGACCACATGGCGTTATTGAACGCGCAGTCGAAAGGTCGATGCTAGGAGTATTCCGTATCTCGCAAATGAGAGAAAGGATCCGAAATTCCGACCTACGTCAGCGACCGAAGATCAGAGACGCCGTTCTACACGCCAGGATATCGAAAATAAGGTGGGCCGAGCAAGTGATGCGCTTCAACGACAGCCGATGGACGAGAGCCGTTATCGACTGGATTCCTCGCGATATCGAGCGCTCTACAGGGAGACCACCGACCCGTTGGTCCGATTTCTTCAGGATAGGTATAGAAAACATTTATGATGTTCAGCGAATCCCTAGAGCGAGGAGAACCCACTGGGCTACTCTTGCACGCAATAGGAAAAAAGGGAAGTGTTGCTGGTACCCGCTCGAGTCACTCGTCGATCAACGGGACGACAGGTGATACAGGTGATACATCTAACGTGGCTGTCAGCTCAACTGGGTTCATAAAGCGAAATCGTATGACCGACCAAACCTGTTAGAGGTTGATGAGTGATAGCTAACATAGAGATAGTGGTGGCGCAAATGTGCGTCAGTGGTGCAATGGTAGTAGCACCCGTCCACGTATGGATAAAACGCTGGTTCGATTCCCGCCTGAGGCCGTGTTTTTGCTCACCATCAAATTCTCTTGGTTATCTATCTAACATCATAACACTGCGAAGAAAGCAGTACAAATACTAGAATTTCGGCAGCGAAACGCCTATAATTTGTATAATTCATTTTTCGTCATTCGTCAAAGATCACACAACTAGTGCTAAGCACACAAATCCCGCGTGGCAGTTTATCATCAATTCAGTGTACAAAGGGGGCAGAACTGATCAGCTCACCAAAGAAGCGTGACTGACCAATTCAATTGCCACCCAACGTCCATCCCACAGGACTTATAGTCTGTCGGTTATCGGCACTTTGGCTACAATCTACTCCCCCAAAAAAATAACACTGAACCCCTTTAATAGAGCATCCACTGAAGCTCTCCATCGTATGGTACACACCGTCCATAGTCACAGAGACTACCAAATACAATCAGTTTCAAATTCCCTTTTCTACACGCACATCACTCTACATCATTGGGTACATCCACAACATCACACCACAGCTAAAAGTGGTCAAATAGAACGACCTGTATTTGTTCATAAAATAAACCTATCACTTGCGAGTGACAGGAATAATAAGTAGAATTTTTATGAATATCTGAAAGCTTGGGAATGCACTTTATTCCACAAGAAGACTCGATTACAAAAGAGGTGATTACTCCAGTTGCAAAGAGAACACCACTCGTCTTCGGTTTATATTGGCAGCCTAAAATGAATGTTCTGAATTACATGCACCTACCTATAGGTGTATTCTGCAAGAAATGACATATGCGAATTTTCTAGCAAGTTCTCAAAGTTTTGAATTTATCGCGTGCTAGTTGATTTTACTACAAACTTTTTTGTTCCCTTCAATACGAATATTCCAACCCGATTAATATTAGCTTTCCAGGAGAACAAACTGGCGAAGACAATCACCAAAATCGGGGAGACATGGCCGAGTGGTTGTGATACTGGTTGGGGCTCGCGTGGGGCCGAGCTTCACCCCCACCTCTCTGCGGCAGTCAACAACAACTCAAGAAGAAGACGAAAATCGAATTGAATACTAGAAGTTCTGGGATACGCACAGTGAAAACAGCACTGTGATGACGGATCAAATAAGCTGCTAAATCATCGAAATAATTTGAAGTTATGAGCTTTTTAAAAGGTCTAAAATTTTCTAATATGATACACATATTCAAGTGAAGGCTAACTGAACAAATCAAGAAGTCAGACCTACGATGTTGATCATACATCTCGTTATAATAAATCTAGGACGTGACAACAAAGATTGATGAGAAGAAAACGATGACGAAAACGAAGAATATTCATTAATAAGTGTTGTAGGTATTACCTCTAATCATTATCTTAAGCTATGAGCACATCATACTCTGTTATAATGGTTTGTTCCCGAAGTGAAGAGTTATTTTGTACGGAAATTAAGAATTCAGCGAACTCACCCATGCATCAGGCGACCAGTAATCAGCAGCGTCCGTTGCCTTAAATTGATGATGGTTAAGATCCCCTTTCTAGTAACATAAGCATTGGTTCGTGGACCAAATGACTTATTTTGCTGAAAAACTGGAAAACAATATTAACTATGAAGACACACTTGTCATGTTTATTGTTCATCTTAGGCCATCTTTCTTTCCACATCTAATGCACGAACTACAGTAGTTTTTACATTTGATTCGTTTTCTCTTATTTTTCAGTAATCGTAATGGTCTACAAACTTTTGCTTGTGAGTTCGGCTACTGCTTGAGGTTGATCCCTTCATCATTAATGCATCTGACTGCTGCTCGAATCTATTTTCCTGCTGCCATCAGATAGTTAGGTCGGATCACTCCTACTTGGTTTTCGTGCAGAGATCTTTTCCGACACAAGTATGGTACAGATTCAAAATCTTCGTTGAAATACGGTTCATGTCACAAGTCATCCGAAACGGATAAAGTCTGTGGTTGAGGGTCTTTACATACTTCGCAGTTGTGGAAAAAACATCCATACTCAGACTTGTTTAAAAAAAATTGGAAAGTTTCCTAAATAAATGTCGCCTAACTTGATCAACAAATCCATAGCAAATTGGTGCTACTTCACCATATGTGCAAAATTTTATTGACTCTTCTCTCCCGAAACGAAACCGTTTCCACATGTTGGCACTTGGCCCATAGTCAAGTTCAACTGTGTCACCTTCCTTAAAAATCGCTAGAATTCATTAGGAATTTGGAAGTTTTACTTCTGATGTAGAACTAATGTTACTAACTGCCACTTTGTAGACCAACGTCTTCGTGATCCTCCCGTAGCAAATGAGAAGAAGCACAGCGAAGCATCCAATTCGAAGCATCTGGAAATGACACTATGAAAATATCTGCCATGACTGTGAATGAATGCTGCTCCTTAATCCAGCGTGGAGTTTCCCATATGAAACTCATGTAACTCAAATATTTGACATGGAATCCAAAAGTCAATTCCATTCAATTCCGTTGGTGCAGTAACAAAACCATCTTTTGTCACATGCTATCTTGGTGTATATCCTAAGTATATTACAGAAAATAAAACTGGGGAATTGCACATTGAGTTATCAACTCAGGATACTTCTTTTCTTTATTAGAAATTGCACAAGGTTGGTACTTCCTTTTTTTTTAAATCTCTATGGCTAACGTTTCAGCGGCAACACCTTCGTCAGAGCCTGGACGATATATCATACCATATCTGATTACTCGGCTGATAATTCGCATACATCGAAAATCCAATATAAAAGAAATCAACAGTATAGTTGTTCTAAATAAATCCCACCTTATTCAATTTTATGAGAGCGATGACCGGTTCAGTGTGACACACCTTGCAAAATGAGCCACACTCTGACTAGAAGACGAATTGAGATAAGGTGCCATATCACTTATTGTATTCAGGCATTCTCTCTCCTATTCATTCCTAGTCTTTTGCGGTTTATACAAAAGGCTTCGAGGGTTTTTCGCTCTGATGTTTTTGATTCCTGTCTCAAGATTCTTACTAACGCATCAAAGTGCGCATCGTTGTGTTTTTATACTCTGAGAGCCCCCAAAGGCTTACTTGTTTCGCTGTTGGTTTTGTCACCTAAGCTAAGTGTTTTTTAATGCGAATCCAAATGGTCTTCTGTCTCGCCAATGTATTGTTCTTTTGAGTTATTACACTCCAATGGATATGGGAATGCTAAACAAAAGAATGATGCTTGAAGAACGAAGAAACCGACCACAAAACGAAGAAAAACAGGAAGATGCGAGAAAAATACCGCTCTACTGAGGTATGAGCCAACATTGATACGTTTATATAGTAGTATTATCTTATCCCTGAATACGTTGCTATGATGTGGCACAATAAACTCTCTGATAATATTCAGTGTATGCGTTGATAGTATAAGGATGATTTCCCCGCGAACTATATCGGCAACTTTTTCTTAGCACTTTATTATTCACAGTGTTCTTCTCACTGCGAGGTTCCCAGTACTTCTAGCATTTGAGCGTTTTTTTCCGTCTTATTCGTGGAATACTGGTTGAGCATGTCTCCTAGGAGTCTCGATGATAACCTTACTGTGGCGTTCCATGGAGCGTTCGTTGCTGATTACTGCGCCGGAGAATGTTGGGGAGTGGGGTTCAATTCCAAGCGCGCCGCGACGAGCATCACAACCACTCGGCCAGGGCTCCTGGCCTCCTCCCATATTAATAACTGCTAGTACAAAAATACAAAGCTAAATTTCGTTGCTCACATCTTCATGTATGAGACTGCGAACATTACAACACTGAAGAAGTGCCGTTACTTCATTTAGTGAAGGATAAGGTAATGCTGATATGTGTTACATTTTTTGCTGTAATCCGAAATAGTACACAAATATCCGAAGACCTGTGCCAGGAAACAAGACAAATTCAAGAAGAGGTGAAATTCGCATAGCATATGATATGACGGTTGTAATAAAAAGATTACTTGTAAGCCATACTGCTTCCAAAATTTGGAGAGGTTCACTACATGTGTGTGTTGAGAGTCTTTCGGTATATCTAGCAGCTAATGAATGAGTAAAATACCTTAGTGGCGATAACGTTTTATGCTATCGGCAGAGCTCACATATGCTTAGTGGGAAATAAGCACAGATCCTTTATCTCAATCCGTTCATCAATCCTTCGGAGGCAAGGTCCTTTCAGCCTTCTCAAACTTTTAGTACCATTCGATAGATACTCCAATGGGAAGGCAAAATAATTAGCTTATCAAAAACGGCTATCTGTCAAAGATGAAATTAAGTTGACACAAAAGGAATGAGATGCAAAATAGTATTTCGTCGCTACAGCGAATTATTAAGGCTTTTAGAAACCAAGTATAGTGGGGAGATTGCTTTCTTGAAACTATCGATTGATTAACTCTATAATGTAAAGGGGTGCGCGAAAACATTTGCATCAGTTGGAATTCGAACCCAGAGCTCACTCTTTCCGATCGCGCTTGCTGAACGTTGCACTAGCAAGACTCGTTTTGACACCACCCTTTCTACGCTGCAACGCGTTATATGTCAACAGCCAACAGTCTACGGTCTGGCGTAGGCATATTGAGACATCATAGCACCGCAATAGGCGGTCAAATGGAATGAATTCTTTTTTTTTTTTGTTTGAAACTTGCACGAGGTTGGCACTTCCTTTTACTCAAAATTTGATGGGTAACGTTTCGACGGCAACGTCTTCGTCAGAGCCTAGACGTATATATCATACCATATCTAATTACTCGGTTAATACTTCTCGTGCATCAAAATCTAATAGAAAAGAAATCAACAAAGAATATCTAAAGAAAGATAAAGATATAAAGCAAAAATCTAGTCATTTTGAAAAACCCCAATAATTTAGATTTATGTGAGCGGTCACTGGTCTAATGTGCCACAATTTGCAGAATGAACCGCACTCAGACTAGAAGATGAATCTGAGATAAGGTGACATATCACTTGTTATATTCAGGCATTCTCCCCTGTTATTCATTCCTGGTCTTTGCGGTTTATCTAAAGAAGCCTCAGGAGTTTTCCG